GAAAAAGAAGATGAAAGGTCTTTAAATAAATTTTACGATGATAAAAACGGCCCACCAGGCCCGTTAAAGCACGGTGTGAGAACGCAACGGTCCATTTACTGACACAACTAAAATGACGGAAGGCACAAATCCACACAACAGTACAGTTCAACGGGCAGATTTCGGACTTATCCATCCAGGAAAACGGCAGAGTTACCGTATTGCTGCAAAAAGAACTCATCAACCATGAAGCAACGGACGGTTACCTCACAAGGAACATAACAACCCGGTTCTTAAAAAAGAACTCGGGACTCTCATAAACAACCGGGACATCAGTAGAATAAAGACTGACAACTCAGAAGATAAGATTCTTTTTATTATAAATGGTTTCAAGAAATTGAAGATTACACATCTTAGAAGACCCAACGAACTCGGTACTACGATAAGCAATGTAGCAAAGAGGAACCCGGACACAGCTAGGCTCTAGAACGACTACGTGTCCCAAATTGCTACTCGGTAGAACAAACCGCACTCGGCTACACTGTTTTCTTCAAAGGACGCACGCAGTGCATCCAAGGCGGAAATCAGCAGCACGGTGGGACAACATAGACCAGGGGAAGTCGGCAGGCATCTGTCTACCCAAGCCCGACGTGATGCAGGATCAGGTGTTGATCTGCACCGGACAGTCGCAGAGCAGGCAAGGAAGATCAACCCAGAACTGCTGGATGATGGAACACATCCCACATCACAAGACTCCCTCCAACTACCACCACGTACTTCCAAGTACAATGCCGCTGCGGGATTAGTCTACCTCTAATCCCTATCACAAGACTTCATCCAGCTACGACAAGACGCACAGGAACTACAAAATACGCCCGGGGGCTGCTCTACTTCACAAACTACCATATTCATGACTACGAAGGCTTCAACAAAATGTTCAATGGATGAAAACAAGCACTCTGGGAGGGTATTTATAGATCAAAGGAGCGGCGCACATGGACTAGGAGTACCAACGAAACAAGCCTAACAAAGGACACAGTGAAAAGACAGGACTCAATAATGGAAGACTCAGACGAGAAGAAACAGTACTCGAAGACGAGCATATTCGAAAGAATATGCCAACGTTGTACAACCCGTGAACAGACAACATTTACACTCAACCACAACCATACAACTACACCTGACAAATAACAGACTACCAGAGAATACGCCAAGACAATGCATCCGAGTTCTTTTTGAATCAAAGAACCCGGATAAATGCTCAGAGGCTGCAACAGGGGAAGATTTCAGTTCCTTGAACAAATCAGACTCAAGACCCTCCAACTCTTTGTTCCAAACAGCAAGAGGCTCGGGGGCTACACTCAGTGAGTGCACTTTTTCTTCAAAAAAGCGCACATCACTCGAAAGGCTTCTTCAAGACAGCAATTTTCAAACAACATAAGATTCAAAACCCTCCAGCTCCTTGTTCCAAATAGCAAGAGGCTTAGGGGCTACACTCAGTGAGTGCACTTTTTTCTTCGAAAAAGCACACGTCACCAAGAAGACTTCTTTAAGACAAAACTACTTCAAGGACTCATGACAAAAAGAAGCTGGACCGAGCTATATCCGAGTTCTTTTTGATAAAGAACCCGGGTACATGCTCGGGAACATTTCAACGAAGGATCAGAGCGATTTCAAGATAAGACCCTCCCGCTCCTTGTACCAAATAGCAAGAGACTCGAGGGCTACACCCAAAGAGGAGTATTTTTTCTTCAAAAAGGTACACACCTCGTGAAGATCTCACAGAGCGCTACACGGTTTCGCTCAAGAAAGCACTTGGACGACGCTTGTTCCTGCTCGGCAAGACCTGAAAGAACAAGACGAGGCTTCCAGAGCTCAACCATGAAGTGCTCGGGGGCTTGTCGGTGCGGGACCCATAGGATACCCCGCAAGGAAGAGAGAAGATCTAGTCTAACTAGGATTCTCCCCATATAATCTTAGTAGTAGTATTATTCTATAATCCTACTAGTAACTCTCATTGTAAACCGACTAGGATTCTGACCTCCTAACTATATAAAGGAGGGCAGGGTTCCTAGAGACGGGAGATCACGACTTCTACAACACAACAACACTTTACAATCAATCCAACGCAAAGGCTAACGCCGACTGGACGTAGGGCTATTACTCGACTAGAGTCGAGGGCCTGAACCAAGATAAATCGACTGTCTCTTACGTTCACCATCGAGTTCCACATACGCTGAAGCCCGAACATACTGTCCCGGGTAATCCCGTGGCAGGCTATCGGTGGTAAAACATCGATAGTGTTGTTGAGATGTTTCACTTCCTCCATGTATTACACCGGAAGAAAGCTAGCAGGTGTAGCCTGTAACTAATTTCCCACTCCATTCCATGTTTGTGTATGATAAAAGAAAAGAAAAGCCTCCACTAGTTGATCTGAACTGAACTACTTCTACATGTGTTAGCTTGCTGCTGCTTCATTCTTTAATCTTCTACTTTCTTATATGATACATTCATGTACAAACTTGTTGGGGAAAAGCCAAATTTGTCACAAGAGTTCACCATTTTCATTTTATGTTATTTGCAGAGGTTTTGGTGGAAGAAATGCATGACTTGAGACAAGTGAAGTGTGGTCAACTTTTGTAATGATTGTTGAACATTTCTGGCTTCTATGTTATATGTAGCTATGCAAAGACTTGATTTCAGTTGGATACCTATGTATTTTTATGTAAAAAAACTTATTCCTAAGATTTTTTTATTTATTTATACGATACGAGCATCGATGTGTAGTGACCTTGTTATATCATTTTCTTTTCTGAATTTTCTTGATTTTTTTGTATTTTTAAAGATGTTTATATACTATATCAGTCAAGATTTTCCTATGATCCTGGAGAAAAATATGTAATACATGCTTTATCTGACAACTTTATTTATGCAATACATCACATAATCTATTTCTCTATAACTCCGTGCTTCCAAACAGCCACAGGGAAATAACCCCGCATGTGAAATCTCCCCTCCAGGAAGAGAGGGGATTAGCATGTTCAGAAAAATCCCTCCCCCTCGGTTTGCTTCCCTGGAATAGTCCCCCCGAGCTGCCAAAGTAGCCCTAAAGTGGTTGAGAAGCACGCAGAAAAAAATGAACGGGCCTCCACGTCCATGCGTCCCTTGGCCACTTGACCTCAACACGCTCATTGATGAAACCAGAAATGGACAGGTCACAGCGACATCAACTAAAAATGGAAAAGAATGGGAGAATGTCCGAACGTTCACTGAACAATAATTGAGTGAATGTTCGCTAATTAGTGTGGTCGCGTCCCAGCGCCACTAGTTGTGGTATATTCTTTTGACTAATAATTCGTATACTCGTTAAACCTACCACTACAACTAGCTCACCATAATACACTTCAAATCAAACAAAAAAAACTAACGAGCTTATGGTAAGTGAAAGCATCTAGGCTCCTAGTTGGGTTTCGGTGATTAATGACAATACGAGATTACTGTGACTAACGTGTGTTTTACAGAGACAATAAAGTTAGGTCATGGTAATGACAATTGATTGGGCAATCATGGTTGTCATACCCTTACGATGGAAATCGTTTCGGTTTTCAAAGGATGGACTAGTTTTAAGTGTTGTTTGGCGTTGAAGAGACACTTATAATAGTTTATAACTTTATTTTTCCTTTAGTCGTACTATTAAGGGGGGTATGAACGGGTAGCTTGACCTAGATAAGTCTAGTGGGTTATGTGTGGTGCACACTTGTCAAATATAGCACTAGGTAGCTCCTAAGTAGCCCTTAGATCAATTGAACTTCATTCACATATGATTGTGAGTTTGAAGTGAATGGAGGGTCAAATGTTGACCGGACGCTGGTTCTGGTGTGACCGGACGCTGGAGTAGAGTCTAGTCAGTTCATTTAATCAAGGTGAAGTCATCTGGATGCGACCGGACGCCGAGTGAAATATGACTGGACGCTGGGTGCCAGAGTCCGGTCAACTCCAGTGAGGTTCCAGAGAGGGAGAATCCTGATCGGACGCGTCCGGTCAGTGCTGACCGGACGCTGGTCAGGTTCCGACTACTGACCGGACGCTGAGCAGTAAAATGACCGGACGCTGGGTGCCAGAGTTCGGTCAACATTAGTATGGTTCCAGAGAGCAGTTTTTGTGACCGGACGCGGGTCAGAGTTCGGTCACAACTTAACTGCTCAGTGGCGGAGAGAACTAACCGGAGCATCCGGTCACCCCACAGTGGCACATAACGGTTCGTTTTTAATGAGGGGTTATAAATAATTCCTCTATTCACTTAAGGGATCACTTTTACTCATTTCAACAGCTGAGAAACACCCTTACGAGTGTCAAAGAGAGCAAGGTCCTAGTGAGTTGATTGAGATTTGAGAATCCAAGAGAGAGGCCTCATTAGTGAAAAAGAGAGTAGCAAGTGTGCATCCACCCTTCTCATTAGGCTTGTTGTGGTCAAGTCAGAGTTCTTGCTTGTTACTCTTGGTGATCACCATCACCTAGATGGCTTGGTGGTGATTGGGAGTTTGGTGATCATCCAGCGGAGCTTGTGGATGATCCAACTCAAGTTATGAGCGGTTGTGGGTGATTCACCGCGACGGAGTGTCGAAGAATCAACCCATAGAGAGCACTTGATCTTTGTGCGGATGAAGAGGGAGGTACACCCTTACGCGGGTGCTCCAACGAGGACTAGTGGGGAGTGGCGACTCTCCTATATCTCGGCAAAACATCGCCGCGTTCCTCCTTCTCTCTTTACTTTGAGCATTTACTTTGAGCAATTCAATTCTTGTCTTTACATTAATAGAATTGCCATGTTAGAGTAGGATTGGAATTTAGGGTGCAAAACTTTAGTGAGGTAGAATATTAGAAACACTTTCTAGGCACATGGGGTGAAGTGGACTAAGTGTAGAATTTAATTATTACAAAAAATTTAGAATTAGTCTAATTCACTTCTCTCTTTAGCATCTTGATCCTTTCAGTAAGATAGTATGTCCTTCAGTCCTTGTTCACATGAATTTGCAGCCTCCATAACCTGCAACGGGAAAAATGCCACACGTAAAGATATATACCAAAATGCATCTATAGAGTTGATCATGCAGCATGTGCCAAAAAGTTTTTTTTATACTAACAAAGTATACAAAACAAAAAAAAATCTGAAGACCATCGACGGATCGGAAGAAGATCGATCTTACTGGGATCAGCAGTGGTAACAACGCCGGTTTGTCCGAAGTCACAGTCGTACTCATGCTGGCCGTTGGACTGGAAGTAGAGGTTCATGGCGTACGCCGCGTGGCCCTGCACCGTGTCCGGCTCGTAGCAGACGCCGCCCGGCCGGATCGCGGCACAGTCGACGCCCTCTTGGCCGCACGCGAAGTCGATGTTCTCCTGCAGCACCATCTCGTCCGCCGCCGGCTTCGGCACGCACCACTGCCGGCGCCCAGCCGCCGGCGCCGCCGCCGCTCCTGGCGAGCTCGGCGCGGGAGTCACCTTCGCGCTCACCGGCTCAAGGGTCTTCGTGCATGGACCGATACATTCGCCGGCTCATGATCAGTGTGGAACGAACTGAACAATCGTTCATGGCGACCGTACCGTACCATACATACGTACCTCCGGATCTGTAAAGATGCCGACGTCGTAGACCGGCGTCATGTCGCCGCGGAACAGGCCGAAGTTCCTCTCCGACACCGGCCCGGGCTTGAGGTTCTCGTCGAAGAGGGAGAAGATGGAGACCTCGAAGGTGCGGTTGGGCATGAGCGGCGTGCCGACGCCGGAGCCGAGGTGCCGGATGGCGTTCCTGTTGTAGTCGCGGGCGAGGTCCGCGCCGACGCCGACCTCCCAGTCCTCCCCGGCCGACGGCCACCCGGTCTCCGACACGACGATGTCGACGTCCCCGAAGCCCAGCCGCCTGACCGCCGAGTGCACGGCGTCGAGCTGCGCGTCCAGCATGTTGCCGTACACCAGCCCGGAGCCCTGGTCCATGACGCCGTCGTTCACCCGGAACAGCGCGAAGTCGAGGCTGCTGCTGTCGTTGGCGAGCCCGTAGAACGGGTACGCGTTCACCATGAAAGGCGCGCCCGTCGCGCGGAGGAACCTGAGCATCGGCCTCACGATGGCCGTGTCGTAGCCGTCGCGGAACCGCGCCGCCGACGGCTGCTCCGTGGTGGTGAGCACCCCGAGCGAGTGCGTGGTGGAGACCTTGACCCGGCCGTGCAGGGACGCGGTGACCAGCGCGGTGTGCAGGTTCTCCATGGCCGGCACCAGCGCCAGCAGCAGCGTCCGGTTGGCCTCGGTGGTCACTTCGTCGCCGACCAGGAGCCGCGAGATGTTGGTGGCGCCCGCGTACGGCGCCACGTTGTCGCGCACCCAGCGCCGCGCGAAGGCCAGGCTCACGAGGCGCGGGACGACGCCGTTGGGCACCGTCACGTCCACGGCGAGGCCCGTGCCGGCGAAGGCCTGCAGCAGGACCGGGTCGGCGTCGAACAGCCTGACGCGGTCCACGATGGTGTCCCGGGTCAGGAACCGCGCCACGTCGGCTGGCGCCGGGAGCGTCGTGCCCCGCGTGCCGTAGTTGACGCCGATGCCGCCGGCGTCCGCGCCTGCGCGAATTGAAACAGTGTCAAGATCAACATGGCAGGCAGAGCACGGCGACGAGGAGTAACATCAGAGCGCCATGATTTTATTTTACCTGTGATGGCAGAAACCAAGAGCAGCGTTGGGAGGAGGATCTGGAGCAAGACGGTGCAGCGTGTCATCGTGGCTAGCTTGGCTGCTGCCACCTACTGGCTACTACTACAGTACTACTAGAGGTTACTATCACCAGTAGAGTGACACTACTTGTGAGACGGCGAGAGAATGGCTTGCAGCTTGCAATTTTTAAAGAGGGGGAGAGCTGGGCAGAGCACCGGTGCCATGACCACCATATCAGGCTACGCTGTTGCGTGATGCCGGAGCAAGATGACTGTTCTTCGGCAGCTTCAGTTTGACATGGATGCCTTTCTTTGGCTATGGGTTACAGGCCTTACAGCTTCACAGGTTCGTGCTCAGCCATGCCGGCCATGAACTTGGTTCTTTTCGTAACCCTTTTACGTGCCTGCATGCCATCTTTGTGCCTTTCTTCGCAGTGACTTATGGGACAAACAGGCGACACTAAAGTTTCAGGGCAGTGTTGCAAATGTACCCTGGCAGGAACAAAATTCGGTGCTGCCCGGATGCAAAGCGCATCCGGTGCCCACCCTTCCGCCCGGTCGACGCGTGGAGGCGCAGGGAAATCTGACGGTCGCAGCGTCTGGGAAGCTCCTCGCGGCTCCGAACGGCTCACTTGCCTGGCTCCTCGCGCATCTACATGCATGGCTCGGCAGCGCGGCTGCATGCATCGTGAGGCAGGGAATTGGAATAGGCCTCCACGGGCCGAGGACATGCATGCAGCATGCTGCCGTGCCTTGCCTACGTGGTGTGATTGGCCCAAAGATCACGTAGCGTTTAGTACAGTATGGTAGCTACATACAGTCAAGCGTGACCAATAATGGAGACTGAAATTTAAAAGATAAAAGAGGGTTCAACTGCAAACAAAAATCATATGGCGCCCTCACAGTTAAAAGATTAAATTCATTATTACACCATAATAAAATCTAGGGCAAATAATAAAATCCCGCATGCAAAGTGTAAACTTTAACAGCTTAGCACAGTTACATGTTTTCATGAATGGATCCTCCAGCGAAATGTAATTTCCTAACTGCTGACTACAATGTGGCGCCTTGATCAACTCCAAGTAACAAACTCGTATATCCTCCTTGTATATATGGGGCAGACATGGTAGAAGAATTTCCAATCATATTAAAGTGTGGCATTGTCGCATTACCATATCCACCTTGGATCAACGGAGCAGACACGATAGAAGAATTAAGATCCTGTGTCATATTAAATGTGCGTATAAGTAAATAAATTGTGAAAAGGGTATAATTAGTCTCAATCATGTCTTACAGCTAATTGCTTTGGATCAGCAGCTCCATCTCCATTTTCTGCAGCAGTATTTGGATCCTCTCCTGCAGATGACAAAACATGAACATAAAAAATTTATTATAGAAGCAACCATCAGGGAAGAAAAAACATCTTGAATGGGTAGGATCACTACCTTTCTTCTTAGCACTTTTCTTCTTTGACTTCACTGTCTTCTTTTCAACCACATTTTTGAACCGTGTATTCTTTGGGCCTTTTACCACCTGAGGACCTCTAAAAGATATTACACCATTCAATGAGCCTGCATCACATTCATTCGAAATTAGAGGAACCTCATTTGATTCTTCTTGCATCTTGCTAAGAGAAGTATCTGCTTGCTAGTCCAACTTCTCTATGGCTTTCTGGAAATCATCAAGAAGCTCTCTTGACACTGAACACTTCAATGCAATAGTTGTAGCTTTTCGAGAGATAAGTGCAGCACGTGCTTTCAAATCTTCCTCCTCACTTCCTTGTTTGTCGATATAAAATCCCCTTTTGGCATATTTTGTCCATCTGTTTAGAATATATTGCGATGGCAAACTATACACTCCATTTATATTGAAGACTCTAAGGGCATGCTTGCACAATATACCTATACGACATGGATACCATTTTCAGTAAATTGTATAAAAAATTATATTACAAATTGAAATGCATATACGTACCTATTGCTTCAAACTTTCTGCAAGAACATGTAATGGTAGAATCTTCACTGTTGAACACTACTGTTGCTCCACGATCAGATTGCATGTATGTGACAAAGAATGTCAAGTTGGTCCCTTCAGTTTGTACCAATTTTTGAGACAATGATAATTGTTTTTTAAATTCATCCTCAAACTCAGAATACATCCTTCTTGTGTATGATTCCGCTGCGGTCTTCAGCATAGGTAAATCTGTGGTGTAAGTAACCGCGTCCTTTCGGCGTGAATTAAAGTCTTCATCCAACTTGTTTTCACGAAGACTAAGTAAAACCTTCTCACATTCTACAAGGAGTTCCGAAAGACCAAGTTTCCTATAGGTTTCTCATCCAAGAGTAATCCTCTAGTTTATATTCAGATAACAACTCATTCCACTTCTCGATGAAGTAAGCCTCCGATCTATCTTCATACACACATCTCTTAAAATCAGTAAGAAACTTGTTATCTGACTTGTGAATTACATGCCCGAGATGTTTAGCAGCATTTAAGTAAATGTGCCACAAACAAAGGTGGTGGCTTGTATTTGGGAATACATAAGCAATTGCTCCAGCCATGGTCGCGTCTTGATCAGTGAAAATTGTCCTTGGATGCTTGCCTAACATTGCTTTTAGGAAGGTTTCAAAGAGCCAAACAAATGACTCAATAGTTTCATTAAATATCAATGCAGCCCCAAAGATTATCGTCTGCTTGTGATGGTTTGTTCCAAGGATTGGAGCAAAAGGCATCTCAAACTTATTAGTCTGAAACGTAGTGTCAAATGACAGCATCACCAAAGCATTTGTAGTCCATAATAGACTGACCATCTGCCCAGAAAAAATTTACTATCCGACCATCTGTCTTATCTACCTGAACAGCATAAAAAAATGTAGGATCCTGTAACTGCTTGTTTCTCAGGTATTCGGCTAGTGTCTGTACATCATTGGCTTCTAAGTACTTTATGCGCTCGCGTCCAATCTCATTATTGCAATCCATTTTTGCGAATGGCACTTTGTCGTCTCCTCCATAAAACTGCTTCATGAACTCATACACCTGGGCTGGCTTCATCCCGGCTTCTCGTATTTGGCCAATTAGCATCCTGTCTGCTTCAGTGACACGCCGTTGGGATCTCAGCTTATGCAACTTATCTGGACTAGCAAGATAATGATTATGTTCAGTTACAATCTTTTGCGCTGTCCAAATCCCCTCTCTGCTGACACTAAACTGAACACGAGCATTACAACCCGTCCTTGTAGTGTCTTTTGATGACTCGGTTTGCCGATGTCCTTGGCTACTGCAAACTATATATTTCTGAGATATACTACCATCCACTCGACGCTTTGTATTGCTCTTTCTAACACTGAACCCAACCTTACCGGCATATGTGTTATACATCTCAAAGGCTTCTTTCTCTGATTCAAAATTCATTCCAACTTCAGGAGTGATCCCAACTTTATCTGCCACCTGTTGTAAAATGAGATGATGATTAATTATTCAGTCATGTTATGCATGATCGTACCAAAATAGATGAGTAGCATGCGATGTTTCTACATTATCGTATAAATGAACATGCGATGACCCTACCTGTGATGGCTTCTCTCTGTCGACTCCATGACCACCATCAGCGATTGCATCATCCTCATGCGCATCTGAGGTTGCCTGCTGTGAGCCTGTATCATGCGCTTTGTTGATTTATTTCTTCTTTGTGTTGATAGTTTGGAAGGAGCTGGAGAAGGAGAACAGGGAGTTCTTCGACACGTACCAGAAGGATCTACCGGGAGAAGAGTCGACGCAGAAGAATCCATCTGAGAAGAAACCTTCCACTCCCAAGAGCTCAGAGCCTCAGACGTCCGCCGGCTAGATGGAGGAGGTGGCGCGCCGGGCCAGATGGAGGAGGAGGAGGCGGCGGCGGCGGCGTGTTTGAGCCTCGACGGCGCTGGTCCGCCGGGCCAGATGGAGGAGGAGGTGGCGGCGGCCCAAATTGAAATAGGCGGCGACGACAGTGCGTTGCCAGAACCCAAACCCTCGGCCGCGCCTATTCCAATTCCCTGCCTCGCGATGCATGCAGCCGCGCTGCTGAGCCATGCATGCAGCCGCGCTGCCGAGCCATGCATGCAGATGCGCGAGGAGCCAGGCAAGCGAGCTGTTCGGAGCCGCTAGGAGCTTCCCAGACGCGCGACCGTCAGATTTCCCTACGCCTCCACGCGTCGACCGAGCGGAAGGGTGGGCACCGGATGCGCTTTGCATCCGGGCAGCACCGAATTTTGTTCCCCCTGGTAGGGGTCCTATCGGCTCGTGGTGTGCTGACAGGAACTATCGGCCTCTGGAGAGCCGATATGCCTATCCATCCGATATGGCCCACTGAGCTGTCGTATCCACACCAGATGGAAGACTAGTCGGCTTCTTGAAGGCCGATAGGTATAGTACTACCCCCACAACACAACAATTTTGGCAGATTTTAATGTTAACTCGCCAGCAACCAGTTTAGAATTCCGATCAAATGGTTCATCCTGTTTAAACGGCGATATGTTGGCATTGCACAGTGCAGAGCCAAGGCCCGACCACCCTAGGCCGGTGCCCGGGCTCACCAGCTGGTTGATAGGATTCAGGTAGGAGTTTCTCCATTGCTCAGGAATCTCAAATCATCCAGTACAATCGCCGCCGCCGCCAAGAACTTCCTGTCCAAGACAGAACCTACACGTACACGATACCTCTCCCTCCCAATCTAATACGCACACAGTTTCAGATAGGGATACAAGCCCAGCGGGCTGAATTCACGCCCTGTTCACTTGGGCTTATTTGGCTGATAAGCCATGGCTGAAAGCACTGTTGGCTGATTTGGCGTGAGAGAAAAATATTATTCGTTGGCTTAACCCACATGTCTCCATAATACTTCTTGTTGGGCTTCCTTTGATGCTTTTCCGTAGCCCATCTTCTTGGTATTGGTATCGAGGCTCCTCAGCAGCAGGGCGTCCTGTAGCTCCTGCCTCATGGTTACCTGCGGCATCGGTATTAGACTATCTCCAACAAATATGACCCAAATAGGAGACCCATTAGATGAAATGCGTGGCGTTGTAGCAAAAAGGTCACCTATCTATTTTTGGTGTTTTCCAACATGGGACGCAAAAGAAGACCCCCATGCATGCACACGCGATCGGGCAGTAGCAGTTTGAGCGGTGTGGGGGCGGGAGCTAGGCGCAGCATGCAACTTTGGCCAGGGCTGTGAGGAGACGTGTATTTGGATTGCGTCTAGCCTCCCACGCAAAATGCCTCCTTTGTATGCCTACCCTGTTGGGGGCTGTTTTTTACGCTAAAGTAACATGCAACATGCATTTTGAGTTTGGGTTTCGTTGTGCGTCTCCCTCTTGGAGATAGTCTTAGCATTACATGAATTGGTGTCCCTGACGCTGGTGAAACACGTTAGGCCAGCACATCAAGCATATTGGCGATTGCTTTGCTAATTGGTTGGAAAAGCTATGTAGAGCCACTCGATCAACAAGCACAGTACAAACTTTCTGCTACTCGGTAGAGCTCAGGAGGTGGTAGGTAGTGGTAAGACGTTAGGACTCACTACACAAGCTAGGAACCTGTACTAGGGAGATGGAAGTTTGGATTAGCTTAAAAAATTACTGTGGTTCTCTAATTTTGTTTTCATGTGCAATGTCATATTTTTATATAATAGCTGGAGCCGTAGAAATGTTGTTTTCCCCGGTTCCTCTGGGTAACCTAATATAAATTATTACAAAACCGTCACTAAGCCACTTTTATCAAATGTTTTTGTAAACGGCTTTAACTCAAAAAAAAAAAAAAGTTACTCCCCACATAAGAAGAGCCGGAGCTATCTTAAGAGAAGACAGAGCCCTACCAAACGAGTTGTTAATATTCTTCTCGCTCAGGCTCCATAAAAATCCTAGCCCCGCCACTGGCATTGCAAATGTAGCATCCCAACACCACAGACATGTTGGCAGGTGCAACTCTAGCAACCAATTGAAAAGCGAGCACGCCGTGGTGAAATGGTGTTAGAATATGGAATAATAAGTAGTTATGATCATCCACAAGTGTATGTTTTTGAACATTTCCTCCTAAGGGACGTTGGCACCCAACGACACCCTGTGATCACAAATAATCCCCTGTATTCACACGCAAATGAGGGCATTCAGACAACGTGTTCCATGCAAGTTTTTCAGCCCAACATGTCATCGGTGTTCGCCTCCTTTAGAGGATCTGCCACTCTTCTGCTTCACCGGAGCCATCAAGGTCATCGTCGTTGGCCATGCTACTGCCAGAACAACCCAGCCCATCATCCTGTTTATACATTTGCTTCGATGGCTCGATTGACTGCACAACGGTAAAGAGTGGCGCTCCATTGGCCTTCTCTGCCAACTCAGTGGCCCGAGAACAGAAATCATCAAAGTCGCCTGCATAAAAAGATGCAAATAGAAAACATAGAGATTAGAGCTTGAAAAAATGACTGATGGGCATCTGAGAAACTACAACAGCTCACCTTTGTCGCGACAGTAAAAACCAATAGCTAGGGATGGATCTATTTGTTCTAGAGCCAAATCTCGTACAACACTGTAGAAGTGCAGACACATGAATCAGAGGCATGCATAGAGAATGAATCTGCAGTTCCATTCATCAGATTTCATTCCACAACAGCACACATACCTGCAGTGGTACGAGGAAGTGTCTGCCTCCAAGTTATCCGGTGCAATGTCGACCGTCTGACACATAGAGAATTCCAGTATTACTACCATTACTATATATAGCTAAAAAATCATGCATCCTGGCCAATGCATTGGCCCATTATCTGTGTTTTCGTAGTGTTAAAAAATGGTACTCCAAGCAAACAAGAGTGCACAAATTGAAAAACAGTAGTATATACATACACAAGGCACAAGCACAGTTATGTCTAACAAAATTGGTTGTGTCGGGCCCATAAGGGATACAAATGACTCATAGGCTTAGCATGGCTCCTGCTAATTAAGACCAATGAAAGTTAGGATACAAAAACTTTGCTCTATAATCCAGAAAATGGAATCCTTGCTGATTTCACATGATAGCTGCCAAATTAAACAATCTACAGTGCTATCAAATACCATGTCATCTTTAACTACCGATATAGTTTGGCCATGCCTTGACCTGAATCTTCAGCTGCCAAGTTCAGGGACCCAATTGGGACAACCTAACAAATTTTAGGGACTCACAATGCACTTCACTCCAACAGAAATAACCAGATAGTTGCCTATGTAACAGGAATTTCTGCAGAATAGACATGCCACTGTTGTCTTTGAATAAGAGAATGGAACTCAGTTCAAACTTGAAACTTGAAAGGTGCCAGACTATATCCATGATCTTAGACAACTACTAATGGCATTCACATACATGAAAGAACACACCGTTTTTAATTTGATACTTCTTAAGTATGGTGCTCAACTTAAGTTAGAAGGTAGAAAACTATACAGCATTTCTGAAATAGATGCATCTGCATGCAAAGTAAATATAAAATGTATGCAGGTTTACCATCTGAACGTTATGGGGATCTAGGTAGAGGGCCCTATCATCCTGTACCCCAGCAATGTATGTTGATGTCCCAGGTTTTCCACCTAAAATGCCCAAGCTTTGTGGGAATGTAAACGTCTCCTTTAGTAATGGGATGTACCTGATAGAAAGGAAACAGGTACTAATTAGTTACATATCAATACATCAACAGAAACATCAATTATTAGAGGGCATCTTTATTCATTGCCATGATGGCTGCATGGATTTAAGATTGGTTTGTATCTTTAGAATAACCATCTATATAATAACCCATCATGTTGGACTACAATATCACAATATTAGCCATTTTTACAAAATCAGTCCCAGGCACGTCACTGTCCTTAAGTTATGTAGTTAGGTAAGCCTAACTTAGGTCAGCCATCTTAAGTTAGGTAAGCCTAACTTAGGATGGCTCTTAAATTCAGATAGCCTAGCATGGATCCTTATGCAGTCCCCCACAGGATGGAAATTTAGCTGATTACCTTGGATTAATTTTGTCAAGGCCAAGAACCAGAGGAACTAACAAAAGCATCGGTGACCATGTAGAATGTTCTTTGTTGAAATCAGAGCAAAGCTGAGCAGCAACATCGATGCAAACAACTGGAGCTCCACCTCTTTCACCATCTTCATCACCAGAAACCACATAAAGCGCCATAGGGAAATTTTCCTTCCCATCGACAGCATCAGCTTGCTCTCTATTTGTGCGGATAAGGGTCTGCCATGCCCGGCACATAGCATATGGACCCATCCATGATCCAGCAGCCAGACCATAATTCCTTCCAGCTTGAAGTAAATTGTGAATAGAGAAAGCACAAGCTTCAGAATCACCAAATAGGTGTAAGACCCCTATATAATCTGGGTTGTATGGCTGCATATGAACATTTGGTCATTATAAGCAACCCTACATTAAGAATTTAAAGAGCTCCATCACCTACTATAACTGAGCAGAAGTTCCTCATTTTTCTTTGCATAGGTGAACCTCTAATACAAAACCAGAATAATCAATTCATATATCTCTCACCTTCTCTGGGGGCTTTCTCCAAGATCTTCCAAGATGGTGAAAAATCAGTGCCTGCAAAATTTTGCCATATAGCTTGTCTGTTACAGCTTACAATTGCAGTGGCAGTGACCATCCTGGCAATGAAGGGACACTTTGAAAGGGACAAAGTTTACCTGAGCAACCAGCATCTGACTGCTTCTAACCATGCATCCCCAGTTCACATCACTAGTCAGCTTGGAATCAGATATTGCATCAAAGCCTGGGACAATAAACATGTCAATATCTTCTAGGCACCCGTGGTCACGAAATTAAGTTTCCACCACAAACGTAGTACTGCAAATCCTAACCTTTCCGGTAAGTGATCCATATCCTGGAAGAGAAATCTTCCAGAAACGCAGCATGCCCGCTGTCAGACTCCGAGTCGCCGGACTCCTCTTCCTCAGGAGGCACCTTGTAGCATTTACCAAGGAACCACACGTCACCGGAGGTCAGAACCCTGGCGCACCCCAGAAGACGCCACATGGAGCCGCTGCCCACAAACCTCCTCAGAATCCTGGACCAAGCATAGGACCCAGAGGATGACTTCGTTGACCTGGCGTCGCACACCGGCGACGACGAGGAGTCCTGCTGCTGCCCCTCGAATATGGCAAAAGGGGGCGTGAAGACGCCGGACAGGATGGAGGCCTTGGGCTGCCTGGAGCCTCTGTCTTCCTTCTGATCAGACCCAGAGGAGGAAGAGGCAACGGCGGCAGGTGGGGTGACGGCGGCGGTGGCTTCCTCACGTGGTGAATCTGGTGGAGGTGCAGGTGCTTCTTCCCTCTCAGGCAAGCTCGTCATCACCTAACCTAACGCCGCATGTGTGTGAAGACACCCACGATGTCCTAGCAAAGTAACGAATCAGCTGTGTAAATCGTAGGCTCTTCAGACCCTACACTGAATTTGCTCGGAGCTAATGTAAAGTCTAAGACATAATAGCAGTAGCACCAAACATGGCGAGGAGCTTAGTTCATAGCAATCTGGCAACACCAAGGCGTAATTCGTAATTACACGCTAGCAGCATCGACAGAAAACTTGCAATTGGGGTTGGGGGCGACACGGGCTAGAACTTAGAAGCAACCCCGCGCGGGTAAGTAAGCGCCGTGCTCGACTAGGTCAGCGGAGAGCACAGGATCGAAGCAATCCCAGATTCAACAGGGACTCCGCAGCAGTACCGTAGGGTGTTGGGCAAGGCCCGGCGGGCAATTTAGTAGTAGTACCGGCCGCTAGAAGAGGGGGGGCGGCGAGAGAGGGGTGGCTTGCTTACCCTGCGGCGATCCAGTCGTCGGCGAGACGAGGTCGGCGTGGGGTGCGTAAGCGGCGAGGGATCGGGGCGCACCGCGGAAGGGAAGGGGGGGGTGGAGGGGAAGAGGAGGGGAGGTGGCGTGGCGGAGTCGGAATCGGAGGGGAAGAGGAACAAGGAGAGAGGGGGACGAAGACGTACGGGCGTATCGAGCTGGGCTTTGGCAAGACCAGAGGAATTTCCAGAGTTGGCGGGCTTGTCTCATGGCATGGGCCCTCGTTAGAGCCCAGGTGTCATGGGAATCCCTCGGACTGCAACCGGGACCGCGACCGCGAGCGGTGGATGCATCATGCGTGCGAGTGCCGAATTTGCACGGGCACGTCAACACACCCTGTGCCGCCCGTTTGGGCCCGTTGTTTACAGAAATGTGATGCGATTGGCACGTATATGGATAAATTTTCTCAAAATTCATGCGCATTTTATATGATGTGACGTGATTCAAGTGGGTGGGTTAGTTTGTGAAGGGGACGGCACCGGTGACGTCAACGCTCGCTTCGGGGTTACCGGGGTTGGGCAGCTGAGCTGATTGCACGGCACGACGCTGCTTTGAGCCGTGGCTTCCACGCCCAAGCAACAAAAGTGATGGCCAGATGGGAATGGAAAGGAATTTCAAATAGGAGTAGAGTAGTGGAGTACTCTTCTTCCTCCACCCTGTCCAGAGTTGCCTGCTCCGTTTTCCACTCTTCTTGGCGTAAGGACAACATTATCCCGCGAACTCATCTTCCTCCTCGCGACGGCTTCTTCTCCGCGGTCCTCCTCGCGACGAGCACGCTCCCGCAGTCTTCTTCTCCCTCCCCGCGCTCGTCCTACTCGTCCTCGCCCCTGTCACCGACCATCATCCCACCGCGGGCGCTAGGATTCGCCAGAGCCTTCTTCCCTCCTCCTCCGGCCACGACGAGCTCCGGCAGTGGCAACCTCCCTCTGGCCACGGCACCCCCGCCCTCCCTGGCCCGGCCGCCGCCGCCGCCGCTAGGGCCCCTAAGCTGCCCGACCTCCTTCCCCACACGCCTGGCCGGCTGGGCCCTTCTAAGTCCGCCGAATTTAGGGAAGAAGGGTGGGGTGCGGCTGCCAGAACCCTAGCCGCGCCATCATCGTCTTCTTCGTCTCCGACCTAGCGTCGGCGAGTCCCCCCTCCCCCTCTTCTCTTCTCTCTAATGGCGGCATGGCCTCCTTCCTCTTCCTCTCTGTCGGGCACGTGCGCGGCCACGGGTCGCGCGGTCGCGCGAGCGCAAGGCGTCGTGTAATAAACTTTGCATTGGCGTAACCCCCATTACTACGTCTCCGAGGGCAGTGAGAGAGTGATCTTCCCAGACGGCGGAAGGCAGCAGCCAGAAAAGAATCGCATCTGGCCCATCAGATGCTTCTGCAGTATATATGGGCCTGGCCCGTGCAACCGTCCAAGCTTGCGTACTCTAGTCCTAGGCTGTATACACAGCTTTGCCTTGGCTTGGCTCATTTGCCTGATGATAAAACAAATATTGATCCCAGCAAGTCTAGGGGAAAATAAATGAAAAATATCCCAAGTCCTCTCAATCTTATTTTTATTTTCCTTTTTATATAAAAATGAAGCCAATTCTGGATGCTACTATAAATTAAATTCATCTAAAAACAGACAGTAGTAAATAAATACTAAAATCATTGAAAGAACATGCAAGCAAGCAATCAAACCTTGCGTTATTCCAGCGATCTGAAGGAACTTGCAAGGCACTATATGCCACTATGGCAGCTGGGTGCATGCATGCATCCGGATGCGGGCATGTTGTCATGTGCCATAGTACCAGTCCAGCTCAAACCAAGCAAAGCTGCCTGCCCGAGGACATGCTGCTAAGTTGTTGGAGTATTTTCTTTTCCATTCCACGGCAGAGCAGACAACAAGAGCAAGAGAAGAAAGCCGCCATCATCATCGTATATTGGTCAATGAATAAATCTATCTACTAACAGCTACCGCTAGACGTGTGCAATTGGCAACTAATAATCCTTACTTTCCATCTTTTTTTTTTCAAGATTTACCAACCACGGCTCGTAGTAGATCACCATCACAATCAAAATCACATGTGTGATGCAGACTGGCAGGCAGGCATGATTGATGATCCAGAGCTGCCAAGCTGGGGCCGGCCGGCCGGCGACAGCATGGCTCCTCGTCACTATTTGCCATGACTTTTTCTCTCCATATATGTCACACTTGCTCTGGTTTGGTCGCCAAGGGGAAAGTGCCGTCGCCCTCTGAATCTCTCTCTCTCTCTCTGCAACTGCAACGCATCAAGAAGCTGCAGTCGTCGATTGACGAGGAACACAAGCACCGGCAAACATGGTTCACGGGAAGCTGGAGGTCCTTCTCGTCTCCGCCAAGGGCCTCGAGGACACCGATTTCCTCAGTAAACCTCTCTCCCTCTCTCATAGCTTCCTCCGATCCTCCTCTTCTCCGCCGGGTCGCCTGTGCTGTCTTCGTTGCGCGTCGTATATATGTGCTTCGTCACTGCCGGTTGAGGTAGATCTGCGAGCCACGCAGCACAGTAGATGCCATGACTAACCGTGGTGTTCACAGTTCACTGTTCAGTGATCATGCCTGCTTACGGCATGTTCATCGCTGATCTAGCTCCGTATTTGTCACCGTGGGCCGGCAAACTGAAACGAGCTCTGGATTTTCATGTACTGACTAACCTGCCTGGATCGTCAAAAGCATTTGGATCAGTCTCATACTGATCGATGCGTGAGATCTTTGTTCTGTTCTAAAACAAGTACTAGTAGTTGTATATATGCTGCACTGAAGAAAAGTTCAGTATACGTTACTGTAGCACCTTCTTGATCCTTGTCGGTACTCGGTACTAACCCATGTATCTTTCTATGCCTTTTTCTTTGTGCAAATGCAAATGCTCGTCAGATAACATGGACCCCTTCGTGATCCTTACATGCCGCACCCAGGAGCAGAAGAGCAGCGTTGCAAATGGTACGTGTAGTGTAGGAGTACTTTTTTTTACCATTCATTCACAAGAATCCCCATTTCTTCGTTGAGTTTGTGTATCTGCTATTGCTAGAGGGCACATCACTTGATATATGCAGTGATGCGGAAGGTAACTCGATGCCAATCTTGCTGTCCATTTTTTTCAGGAGCAGGAAGCGAGCCTGAATGGAACGAGACCTTCATCTTCACAGTCTCTGACGAAACCCCGCAGCTCCATCTCAAGATCATGGACAGCGATCTCACCAATGATGATTTCGTTGGCGAAGCAACGTAAGTAATTATCCTTATCCGACAAACCATACCTGCAAATTTACTCCTGCATGCACGGAATTGCAATACTACAGCTTGTGAAATCTATGTTCTTTCTGAGCCAACTTCAGAAGACCAGGATGCCTCTCTCTGAACTTTCAGTTATACATATTGCATGGTTTTGTCGCTCTAAGCAAGCCTGACTAGCCTTTAATTTGTGCACCTGTTCTTCTGAACTGCTTTCGTTCAGCATCCCCCTGGAGGCTGTGTTTCAGGAAGGCAGCCTTCCTCCGGCAGTTCATCCGGTCGTCAAGGAGGAGAAATACTGCGGAGAGATCAAGCTTGCACTCACCTTCACTCCAGCAGCGGTATATCACTAAACTAAATGTCCCTTGCAACATTCTTGCCAGCTGCAACAGTCAAGCCATGCTATCAGCCTGTATTACATATCACAAACTCACAATGGATGCAATGCTAATCTGATCAGCACTCTTCTCCAGGAAACTCGCCGCCCTGATGACAGCATCTGGAGTTGATCTGCCTGAAATGCATGCGTCGAACAAGAGGACAATTTACTGAAGAATTAGTATTAATTGTCCTGTTCGCTTGGCTGATAAGTCATGGCTGAAAGTACTGTTGGTTGATTTGTTGTGAGAGAAAAATACTGTTCGTTGGCTGAAAAAATACGGCTTATAAGCCAAGCGAACAGGATGATTGTTGTTAGGGTAAAGTTCACTTTAGGACCTTCAACTATCGTAGAAGTATGGATTTCAACCTCTAACTTCAAAACCGGATAACATTGGCCCTCCAACTCTCGAAAAAGTTCACTTTAGGACCCTAGCCGGTTTCCCTGGCGGTTTTGCATGGCATCAGATTCTTGACGTCAGCGATGACGCCAAGACCTCCTTTTTAATTTGCAAAATTGATATCTTTTATTCGAGCTCCAAATATAGCAAATAATATATCAATTTTGATCGTCTCGACGAGCTCTTTGCAATGGTGTACTCCGTTTTGTTGTTTGAGATAATTTTATTTCATGAAAAATAAATATTTCTACAAAACAAGTTATGCAATTAAGTCGACGTATGCAAGTATTTTATATACTTTGTATATTTATATATGTACAACACCAACGTAGTCGAGTATATAAAAGCGAGGGAGTTGGACGGTCAATCGGACTCGCCACGATCGCTTAGATATTTTTGAATTAACCTTCCTAGCTACGGTTAACTAACATCAACATATGACACGATCAAACGATATGTTTATCGCTCCTAGTGTAGTTTTTTTTTCTGCTTTTGTGGTGAAATTAAGTAGCTAGTGGTAGTAGTAGTATTATATTTATCTTGTACCCAAATCCGATGATATGATACGATTCTGTGTACACTGTCCTTTTTCCTTTCCTATGGCTACTATTGCAAAGACACACGAACTGGACGATCATTCGGCCGACCAGCATGATGATCTGCTTCCTGGTGGCATGGCATGAGTATGACCGCATGAAGTGGCGGTGGATAGCTAGATTGAATTGAGGGAGCAGTAGCGAATAATAGTGAGTGGCTTACTCGTGGTCTAGAATCTTGTGCGGCATCGGTAAGTTGAGCGCGCGTGCCCATGGAAGGTCGTCGGCGAGGATCTCCGTGGCGTCGGCGGCGTTGCGGTAAGCACCCGCCGACGCGAGTGGCAACACACAAGCGTAAGCTCGTGTCGTGCAGCCTTAACCGGACGAACACGGCGCCTTGTTGAATTATTGCGAAATATTTTGAATTATTGCGTAAATATTTGCGGACCAAGCGACACGAAGCGAAATATTTATTTCTACAAAACAAGTTTTGAATTATTGCATTTCAAAAATGGTCAAACTTATATATTCTATGGTCAAATGAACACAACATTTCGTGTTACATAATAATAAAAATATTATTTATCTAACAAATTCCACGAGTTCTGTTATTCTAACTTGTTTTGTAGAAATATTTATTTTTTCATGAAATAAAATTATCTCAAACAACAAAACGGAGTACACCATTGCAAAGAGCTCGTCGAGACGATCAAAATTGATATATTATTTGCTATATTTGAAGCTCCGAATAAAAAGATATCAATTTTGCAAATTAAAAAGAAGTGCTGACGTCATCGCTGACGTCAACACTGCTACAGTGCCATGCAACCAGGGTCCTAAAGTGAACTTTTTCGAGAGTTGGAGGGCCAATGTTATCCGGTTTTGAAGTTGGAGGTTGAAATCCATACTTCTGTGATAGTTGGAGGTCCTAAAGTGAACTTTACCCTTGTTGTTATGCGACCCTGTATATGCTTTGTAATGAACTGAATGGGTTTGCATGTAATTCCCAGCACTGCGATAACTATTCAGAGTTGTTTGGTTTGTGCACCTCACCGGGTATATATGCATGGCCTGCAGAACTATCATCATCTCTCAAACAAAGTTGTAACTATGAAATGGGTTTACAACACTAACATTTCCAAACAGCAACATAATTACAGTTTCACATGTACAGCAGAATTGGATCACCTAGACTTTAAATAACTGCCACCAAAAAGACTGTGTAACATGAGGACAAGAAAAACCAAATGCAACCATACGAGTCTGGAAATTAATTGCAACCAGGTAACCACAAGACTTTGGGAAAATACAGGACAAGCAACATGTCCGTGAGAGTTCAACGCTCCTCGGATCGATCAGCTTTTAGACAAACACACGGATGAAGTACTGCTCAATGCTCATGATCAAGCTGGTGTTGATCTCTTTTGCTTAAGGCCTTCCTCTTGTTTTTCGTGTCTTGCTGGCGCCTGGGGTCCCTGATGCTGCTTTGCCTTTTGCCTTATTAGTTTTAGCCTTCTTACCTTTTGATTGACATGGAAACATAAATTAGTTAGCAAGATTCGACTGCAAAACATCAATTCCTGTTACTGAAGCTGAGCACTACAAAATACGCATTCACTTTGATAGTTTGAATATCAGCCTGGCTACGCTCAATGATATGTCACATCTATCTCGTGTTTACACCCAATGATATGTGATATGTCACATCTGCCTAAGGTTGTCTCCAATAGACTTTTAAAAATGCTAAAAAAAATAAACATAGAGCAGCTTAATATATTAGCATGAAAAATCGTGTGAGCGTAAACAACAAATGAATTAAGTATACGAGTTTAGCTCTTCATAAAGTGCTATCTAGTTGTTTTTCATCGTTCTCTTTCCTTTCTACTGTATAAAATATACTATAAGTTAGCTCTTCTACTAAGTATGTATTTTGCTTTTCTCATACATATGACAAAAAAAAAAACAAGACTTCCACTTTCAATAACAATTGCTGATGTCAACAACATCTCGTGCACTACTCCAATGGATTGGCCCTCTACAATTATCATGTGCGGGTCCACGAGTCATACAGTTGCATGCATGTTCGGCACATGAGTAAACTAGTAGCCGGATTTTCTTTTTTTTTGCGATCAGGAAATATAGCCCGATTTTCATTAAGCAGAAGAGAATTACAAGATCCAACTACGAGAGAACCCTCATAGCACAGATTACCAACCACTAAGCCAGTGGTGAGTAAACTGGAATACAATGTAATAAACAAGAAAGAAAGAGAGAGAAAGGGAGGACTGCCCTCAACACCCAAAAAACCTACCAACTGAGCCTGCAAGAAAAGGATACAAAGACACAATGGTTGCCTACAAACAAGACGGTGCCCTGGTGGCAAACAATCCACCCAGAGAGAAGCGAGCATCCAGCAGCAAAGCGGCAAAGCATCTGCCAACAACCACGGCAGCCAAGCATCTGCCATGAGAAGACACCCTGCGGCAAAGCATCCGCAGGGGGGACGACCAAGACACACTCGGCAGCAAAGCATCTACAAGAGAGGAGGCCAACGACAACGGCGGCAAAGCATCCACCAACGACCACGGCGGCCAAGCATCCGCCAAGAGAAGATGCCCTACGGCAAAGCATCATCAGGGGGAACGACCAAGACACACTCGGCAACAAAGCATCTGTCAGTGAGGAGGCCAACGACAACGGCGGCAAAGCATACGCTCGAGAAACCAATGACGACCAAGCATCCGCCATGGAGATAAGGATAGCGGCAAAGCATCCGCTATGGCAGCCAAACGACGATGACAAAGTCAAATGCCAGGACAAACCATTACGAGTAAAACAAGAGCACACACAGGCACAGCGAGGGACTCCACCAAAAGTCGACGGAACAGATGAGCCACGGATGTCGGCGACCACAAGGGGGGACAAGCGACGAGCCAGAGATTCTTCCACGACGCCTTCAAGAAGGAGGTGACACCCACAGTGGACGCCATCGTCGCTGGCCTTACAGCTTGTAAGGCGGGGCTTACACCCAGAATCTGGCGTCGTTGGCGGGAAGCATGGGGTTCAACAACGACGCCTCCAAGGAGGAATGTGGTGCTCGAGGCGTCACCGCCGCCCGCTCGACCAAAACCGAGCTAAGCTTTCACCCATAACTCCATGCCTCCAACCCACCGCCCCTAGGTAGCCAGCAGGGTGACGCCGACCCCGCAATTAGGGCTCAGCATCGCGCGAGAGCCAATAGGGTTAGCTGTAGAAACATGAATTGACCGTCGGCCTAAGAGCCCATCGGTCGCTGGCCGCCGAAGTGCGAGCCAGCTGTTGGGCACAGGGAGCACACGCAGCTGGCCGCTACTCGTAGACCGTGGATCTAGCGGCCACACACGGCTGCCTGCATCACAGCCCCGGCCAAAGCTTGCCGCCCATCCCCGTACAGAGGAGGCAAGTCGGCGCATGCAACTGGACCCAAAGGCGCCAGATCCACCCGGCTTTAGGCTCTAGAGGCGCCGGATCCGCCCACCCCATAAACGTGGATGCAGGGTGTGCGCGCGACCAACTGCCGACGTCGTAGACCCGGCCAGATCCGCCCATCCCTAGGACGGAGGAGGCTTTTTGGTGCAGCAGCCGGCTGGATCCCGCACGACACCGTAGCCCTGGCTGCAGCTGGCTGAGCACGCGCGGAGTGCGGCTGCCAGATCCGACCACCACAGAGCCAGATCCGACGCCCAGGAACTCTGCCAGCCCATGGTTGCCGCTGCTTGAGGTGGAGCTCGAGGAGGACGGGAGGAGGAAGGAGGGAGGGGAAGGAGCGGCATCTGCCTTTTTGAGCAGGACCACTGCGGGCTGCTGCCACCCCACATCAGAAGGAGCGGCGACGACGGCCGAAGGAGCGGCCCCGAAGGGCCAGCGGCGGCGGGGGTTGGCCCCCCGAGTCGCCTTAGTGAGACGACGTGGGGGTCGTGGGTGTCCTCTTCTGCTCACTGCCATAGCCGGATTTTCTCGTTCCATGTCATGATTTTTTGCCGCATAAGCATAACTGATGTCACAAGGTTGCAAACATAAGCCACTTATATGCCAGATTTTGAAAGAAGAAGGATTAGCAACAGAGATGGAAGTGGCCTAAAGCCAGGAGGAGGAGCAAGATGATGTCTATTAGTCTCTTTCGTGCATTGTAGGATTAGTACAACAACAACCTTT